TTACAGCAACAAACAGGTACTACTCTGGATATCTGATTAACTGAAGTTGCATTTGTTTCACATAATTTTTTTATAATGCTTATATTGGTTAATGAGTAAAAATGTCAAAATTAGTATGCATTGATGTAAAATTCTAGTTTAGAGTAAGTGTGAATTGTGTAGCTTGGTTAAAGTATGCATTGACGTTCACCATCTGCCATCCTAACTCTTATGTGAAACAGAAGAGATTTGGTAGATCCATACTTTTAGACAAGATTAAGCTATGTTTTTCTGATTATCAAGTACATTACAATTACCTTTTAATAACAGTCTTTGAGCAAGGTACAGAGCAGAGAACAAACTGCAGCTACCAAAGGAAATATGGTAAGTAGTTACTTGTACTTCTTCTCTTGGGCAAGGTCCATGAATTTAAGGACTTTCTCTTATTAATAAACAGAATTAACAGTCTGGAAATGGAATAGAGAAAAATTATTTCTTTCCTTTTCACTTACCTTTGCCAGTTGTTCATGAATTTCTAATAAGCTTGGTCTGTTGATCTTATTCCCACTGACACTGCCAGTGTTTCTATAATAATCAATTTTGGGAACTGGGTCCATTGTGTTATGTCCAAAAGTTTGTAGATAATACATTTTACTGTGAGTATCATAGGGATGTAGGCTAGCTTCTGTTTTCTCCCCATTTTGACGGAAGTTGTCGTATAATTCTCTTTTTCCTGGTCTGTAACTGATTCTTAGTCTGTTATGTGTTTCATCAGTAAAAGATGTTTCTTCATAATGTGGTGGGTCAGAGCCCTCATCCTCTTGGGTTGTTTCATTGTTGTCATGGTCTTCATTAATTATGTTAACTTGAAACCGATTTGCATTTGGATCCAAGAATACGTTTGGTGCATTGTTCATTGACATCTTCAGGGATGCTACACCCTTGGGTCACTGATCCGTGCTCTCTCCTGTGGCTGCAGCAACACAGTTGCAGATACAGCAAAGGGTTTAGTGCTGTTGCATATCAGACCTTTGCTTCTCAAATAATGAAGGGCTGAGAATTTTCTCTTGAATCTCTAAGCAGTCTTCCTGATGTTGGCTGCAGGTTTACTGCTATAAAAGATACAAATAAACTATTTCTATTATCTTGCTATAGATAGGTTAGATAAGTTTTCCACCACAAGCTCTCCCCTCTCCCCTGCCTCACTATCCATGAGACTGTCATCCTATGACTTGTTGAGTGAAAACATAGCAAAGACAGAGCTTGTGGAGATGTTCCATCTGTGATGGATGCACCTGATCCTCTAACCAAAGCAGCAGGAGTTTGGTACAAGCTCCAGAGGAGGTAAAGGCCTGAGCTGTAAATGGGCCAAGAACTCCTCTAGTTTCAATCTGTTTTATGAAAACTCACAAAAGAGCAGGGTGACATGGTGAGCATCCATGTGCAGAAGCTTGGAACATGATTAGCATGGAACTCACTCCTCTGTAGCCTGCTCCCCCAGTCCCTTCCAGGAGAGTTGCTCCCTGTATGGTGCAGATGTTAAATCTGTACAGGAGGTACAGGATTTGAGGTACAGGATTTGCATTTGTCCTTGTTGAATGTCATGAGATTCCTGCTGGCCCATTCCTCTGGCCTGTCTAGGTTGCCCTGAGTGGCAGCCCATGGAGAGGTTTTTTATACACAGCTGTATAATCTGCTTCTCACCTCCTCCTTCCCACACAGATCTCCTCAGAGAGAACACACAAGCAAACAAAAACTCCAAGAGAAGAAGGGGCACATATATTTAAGGCCTTTAGTGGGTTAAGTACCTTTGCAGCAATTTAAAGTATGGCTTAGAAAGCCCTGGAATGAGCTATTGAAATGATGGCAATCATTTGTCTTGAAACATATTTCTAAGGAGATTAGGGAGTGTGGTTGTATAGACTTGTAAAATTCAGGAGGAGCACAGCTTGTTCAAAGGCACTAAACCAAAGCATGTTTAGACATTGAAACTCTGCAAGCATTTGTAAAAGCAGAAAGTTTTAGAAACAAAATACATCTTATAAACAAATATATGACCCAAAAATCCGGAAAAATAAGCCCATTACATTTTTTTAAAAGTTCCATGTTTTTGCAGGAGGTTGGACTAGATGAACCCCCAAGATTTTTTCAATTTAGATTTCTCAATGATTTGGCCCTTTGTCATGGAAAGATAAAATACAACATCAATATTTATAGCTCAGCAATGTAAATTTTCTCTAAAATCACATACCCAAACTATTATTTGAAGAGCTGATAATTAGATACCTTCCATCTTCAGTAAAAGTTACAGCTAAAGCATATTTTCTTATTTCTTCCATCAGCTATAGGTAATATTCTGCTGTCACCTCTCTGCTAAGACACCACTTAGTCACTCCTCATATTTGTGTTAGTTTTCCTGCTTAATGTTGTATAAGCCTCACAGCAACATATTACATTTATTTAGTTTATTTTACTTCTACTGGCTTTGTATTATTAATATTATTGTTATTATTCTTATTACACATTTATGATCATACTATTCTGCTTCCTTCAGCCTTTTAAAGTTGCAAGGAAGAGTTTCATCTTCAGGCATGAAGGAGCAAAGACAAATCTTCTGTCATTGAGGTCAGAACTGTGTTTGTTTCCATCTTCATGACTGAATGAAATCCTGATTCTTTGATGAGAATGAAACTTTTGCTACCAAGTAAAATGATTCTGTCATTTCACTGTCTTATTTCCATATTTTTATTTTGCTAGGAAAAGTAAAATCTCTTACCTTTCTGCTGTTCTTGAAAATAATACTTAGGTTTTCACAATGTATTTCCAGACATCTCTGAACTGTTTTTTGGCATTAACTTTGTGTTTAGTTTTCCAGCGTTATGCATATATAATCAAGTCTACCTTATTCAGGGTAGTTGAACTTACCATTCAATCCTGTGTTTTTAGGGAAGGACAATCTGCCTCTTTTATTCATGCATATAGTGTGACCCTCTCTTTGAGGCACTACAGACTCTGCCTTATTGGCCAGGTTTTTCTCCTGTTTAATATACTGAGTAGACCATCCAATCCCTTTCTTTCAAAACATTTCTAGATGGTGATTTAGAAAGGCATTCTAGCTTGTTAACTTTTAACCAGCAAATGTACCTATCCATTACAATTACTGGGTTTATGGCATTGTGAAATTTCTAAGGGGGCCTGAAAATACTTTTGTTATCTCCATTTCCCTCCCTGCTATGCCTGATCTGCACAGATCATACTCTCTCTATCTTTCAGTTCTGCATATATAATCATGCAGATAACAAGAGTTCAGGACAGGATCTGCTCAGTGCATTTTGTGCAGAAGATTCAGTGAAGTCAGTGGGATCATTCTTTGAGGGGCCCTCTTGTCCTACATGCAATTTTAAACCATTTACTCCTGACCCTATTTAAAGTTTTACTCTGTATGTTAAAAAGCCTTTGAAAAATGATGTTCTCAGTTTTGTTTCTGGGAAGGCTGACTTCCTAGTCTTTTTGAAGAAAAGAGCAGGCAGGAAATTATGAAGCTCTGTGATTAGAAGGGAATTAGATAATTTGCTTCCAGCAATAGATTGGGTCAAGAACAAAATAAGACGATATTGGGGTTCTTTGGATATTTTTGCAGTGTTTGCTGTGTAGTTTAGAGATAACTGAGCTATATTTAACCCAGATAACTTAAGTACCTTCAGCACTCTAACCTGACAGCCCAGAGCTGAGCTCTGCTGATTAGATGTACATAAAAAGAATGGCAGTGTCAGGTCTCTGCAGTGGATGATCCTATCCAGCAATAACAGATCACATGAATCATTGTACTGATATCTACCTTGGATTTTATGGCTAAATTAACTAGGATAAATGCAATATACTGAATCTCTGAGGGTCTGGATTTTTTTCTTATGTATAATCTGAAGCAGTTGAAAGCCCTTACATTCAAAAAATTGTTTATGGTTTATAATTTAAATGGACCAGTGTAGATTAATATTGGCTGTTCATCTCTTGTATTTTTTAGACAGGAGATTAATGTCTTTCTCTGTACAATCGAGTATTTTATGTTCCAAATGGCACTTGAGGTCTGCTGTTCCACTGTCTGCCTCTGCCTAGTATATAGGGCAAAAGGAATAACATGTATTTTTCAGAATACAGGAAAAAGAAAACAACTGCTGTAACTGATCTCCTTGTCTTAGCTCCTCATTGCAAACAGATCTGTTTAGCAAAAGTGACAGTGCCTAATATTCTAATGCCAGCCTTCTTAAAAACGGAATTGAATTTCTGTCAAGTACTGTCACGCTTGCTAAACAGCTGTGTGTATGAGGGTGACCTTGAATATCCAGATTTGAATCTCTGCTTTTGCTTTTCCACTTCTGCTTTGATAGGATCTCCCATGACCAGTTCATCAGTGACAGTCCACATCATACACTGTGCACAACTGCAGGAGCACAAACAGAAGAACCAGCTGTGGAGAGTGCTGGAGTGTCCGGAGCTCTGGACTCCAGCCCTCCTTGAGGGTGGGTAAAAATGGGTAAGTAGCATGATTGTGTCTGCTTTGGCCTTGCCCCAGGCTGGTGTAATTACTGCTGGGAGCTGTTAACCAGACAGTTTAAGTTCCACTTTACAGTGAATCTTCTTCTGTAACCAAGTGGAATAAAAACATGGACACACACCTCCTGCGGGCACCTCCTCTAAGCCACAACCATTTGTTGTTCTCCACTTTTGTATCCTCAGTGTACAAGTACAGACACTGAGTTTCAGAAAATTGCATTGGATGAAGAGAGAAGGGGGCTACCACTTAAACATTCACCATTCATGAGCCTGTCTTTTTCTTCATGAAGAATTTCTTCTCTATCATGAGACACAGTAGACATGAGATCCTCCTCTGAAGAGCCAAATATAATCTGATCCTTAAATTACTGGCCATGGTAACTTCTAGTGATGCTTTGTGTATTTGTTTGCTGTTAGCCATTTATTATCTACCATTCCACTCTTCATCAAATAAAAGCAACATGAAGTACCTTTTGAGTTTGCAACAAATATTTATTTAACAAAATGGATGCCACCAACATATCTTCAAAATGCAGGTATGTATAACAAATGTAACAACAGTTGGTTTCCAAAATGAAATCAACATCAAATTTAAGGCAGGATATTCTGTGAGTTTTCATGCAAGAGCATATTCAAATGTTCCTTTATCCAACCCCTCAACTTCATCTTCCCATGTGGAAGAAGGCATACTGCTGTAGGGGTCTAGCAAGATTTTGAAGCATCTGATAATTAGAAGTCCCAAGAAAACACACAAAATCCCCACAAAGGCAAAGCCAGTTTTTTGTTCTAAAGTCAGAGGGAAGGCAGACATTTCGTTGACACTCATACTGGCTGAAGTGTTGCTGCAGTAATTACTGCTCATCATTGGGCATCACATCCTGGTGGCTCTGTGGGATTTTCACCTCTATTGCTTCTTTGCCTGCATAGAAACGTCAAATCAGTGTGGTTAGCTCTAAATGGGGTGCATATGTCTGAGCTGTAACAGATGAACATTTGAAAATGAAAACCAGCTTGGATTTCAGAAGTGTCCTGTTGTTTTTTCACGTTTAAATTAATATGATAAAATTGCAACTATTAGCCTCTACACACCATTCACTTACTGGCCTCTGTTTTGAGACAGCAGACTCACAATTTTCTGGTTTTCTATCTCCTCAAAATAGAAATTTCAGTTGTTGCAAACAGCATTTTGTCAGACTGGGCACAAGTCTACAGATTGTGATTTGGCAATAATCTCTAGGGTCTTCACATACAGAAACCTGATATGTTTCCTGAAATGGCTTTACATCTCTGTGCTTAAACTAGTTAAACTTGCATTGACCTCAAAGGCAATTTCAGCTAAATAATGTGGATTTTACTCATTTGATTTAGCTCAGAGTCTACGTGAATAGATCCAACTTGTAAAATAAAAGACTGTGTGTGCAATTTTACTGAAGTCTTGGGCTCCAGTTTCAGAAAAAAACGCTGGGTATATTTTGAACTTGTAAGAAAGTGAGCAGATTGCTAGAATCCCTTCACCTTTCTCTATACATGTCCACTCCTGTGTATGAGCAAAGATTGGTAGAAGAAGAGATAACAATTAAATTCCTTTCCGCTAAATCTTGTTCTCATTTGTTTCTTCTCCTTGGTCTTCCCCATACATACCCTGCCATTTTCACAGGCACAGTAAACAGGAGATCTGCCCCTGATGTATGTCCTAGGGAAGCAGGATGCTCAAGCAACTCCACCCCACTGCTGCCACCAGGAGAGCTCTGCATGTTTCCAGAAAGGAGAAACTTCTTGTATTTGTCTTTTTAAGGAGATCTTACGGATAGATTTTAGTTGGGGGTGGGGATCATTTGCTTTATTTTAGGTTTTCCATTAGATATTGCAATCACATCTTTCTTTTGTGTCTATAGACAGTGGGAGAATTGGAAGGCTGGGACATCAAAAGTGCCAAAGGACAAAGACATTTTTATTCTAAGGTTAGAACTTGAGGTTTTCTGGCTCTTGCTAACACCTATTTAACGAATGTGCCTCAGGGGAAACTCTTTTTATTAACAATTCCACCTCTTTTTCCCCAGGGAATTGCCAGTATCCATTTATTTCTTGGCAGACTAATTAGGCCACTTGGAGCTCTGTGCTGCCATGGCTACACTGCTTCAGGTACCTGCACTGCTCGGCCAGGTTAAAGGGACTTCCAGAATCTCTGCTCTGTACTGCAGCCATGGCTGAGGAGCCATACTCTGAGTCAGCCTACAAGTAAAAACAACAGAAAAAGTAAAAATAACTTTTGGTATTCTCGAGCAGACAGAGAGGGACAGAACTTGTGTCTTGTTTGGTGTCTCCTTTCTCACTTCAAAATTTATGAGTTTTTTGAATGTTATCCTAAAGAAAAAAAAATTAGAACAAAGAGCAAAAGGGCAAAACACTAGTATATATATTTTGTTGTAATAAAGCTCAGTATAGTAGATATTAAATGTTTCCTGACGGTCTTTACACATTTACCAGAGCATACACATTTATGTTCTGTTTATTCTATAGGCCTGTGTATGAGATCTTTCCTTGTTTTGAATTATATTCTGCTCTTTGGGTCATACTGTTTTAATTCCAGTTAAGCTGGAAGAAAGATCCAGATACAGCCTATAGGAATTAGGTATAATGTCAACAACAATAATATTTATTTTCTGAAAATACATCATAGGTAAACCCCACCTGCTTTATGGATTTTCATTTGGCATACTTCCATTTTTTCTATTAAGTTTGACCTTCTGCAGGAAAAAAAATTACAGAAAATTCAATATCACAAATTTATGTTAGAAGTTAGTTGATTTGAGCAAAAGCCAGTCAAGGAAAAAAAAACTTTCCAAAAGTTCTAGGGTAATGGGTTATAAAAAGTAAAAACAAGGCTTACACAGGAAAATGATACATAGTCACTAGCTGGAAAAGCCAGACCCAAAAATCCCAACTGCCCTCTTGAAAGACATTGAGAAGAACATTAGGGGTAGACTGGCCATGGAGAACTCTGAATTTGAGCTCAGTCCAGATAAATAGGTTTGTGTTTGACATAACCTTTCTTCACCACAGAGTAATTTTCCAAGAATATGACTTCCAGTCTTAGTAATTTTGCAGCTTACACACTGGAATTAGATGAGATTTGTTTGTACATTATGTGCTTGTCAGGACACATTATGGGACAAATTTCTGTGCAAAGCTTGACTGAAGCTGAAAGGTGGAGAAATTGATATCTTAGTCTTATTTAACAAAAGTTTGCCTCAAAAAGCTGCAGGAGAAGACTGTATTTTGCCTGGGGTGGGGATTGGTTCTGGGAAACTCTAATGTACAGCTTTGTGTGCTTCTGTTCCTTGTCCTGAATTTCAGAAACTGTAATTGAAGCCTTAAAGTTGACAGGAAATTTTGTTCTAATTATGTATCCCCAAACCCGTGGTACCTTTTATTGCTTTCACATTTTAGTGCTGCGCACAGGTTGGATGTCCTCTCCCAGTTAGTCAGGTACCTTTGCATTTGCTGCAGTGTATCTGTCAAAGTCCTGAGTCAGAAGACTCTGAATGCTAACTAACCTGGCTTGGATCCCAAAATGCTCAAAGATAGCCTTTAGGACAGCATTGTGGGGACAGGCATTGTATAATTTATAATCTGCAGAGCCATTTTGTGGGGGCTAAGCCGTAGACAGAGCTTGATCTTTTTTTTACAGGTCAGGATTCTTCTCCTCCTTTTATTCGTTACCCATATAAACACTGGCAAAAAGACAGGCTCCTTAACATCCTGCTGTGAAATAAAAGGCCACTGGAAGTCCTTCAGAAGAAACAGAGTCCTCAAGAAAATGGGAATGAGGAAAACAGCTTAATACTGAGCTAAGAAAAACGGAGGTATGAGCTGGGGGTGCTGGCTGCACCTGTGGGGGATGAAGGGGAGCACCATGGGCACTAGGTATTGTGAGGCAGCTGGAAGGAAGATGGCAAAACTGTTATTCTCTAGCAGAATCACCAGCCCAACTCTGCCAGTGTTTGGTGTGAAGATCCCAGCCTCAGCTATTTGGTGGTTTGGGGTGACAGGGTGTCATTTTTTTCGGATCTAGCCTTTACTCTCAGGTTTACAGAGACTTAAGAAGATCAAGAAAATAACCAGGATAATCTTCCTGGGCTTCTGGGTTTCAGTCCTTCTCTCACAGAACCCCCTACAGGATTTTTTCTGGTGGCTCAGTGCTCAGGAAACTAGCAGCTTTACACGATCCCAAGCTGGGAGCGTTCATCCTCTTGGCATGACTAAGCCTCAGGTGCCTAAAAACTCACTTCCTGAATGACAGTTTGTAACAAAATTGACCACATTAGTGGCCATCTGTTCTCTTCCTGGATGTCTACAGCCCAAATTCTGGTTCATGGATGTGATTATTCTGAAAGTACTTGGAATAGCTTCAGTCCTGAGCTTGTGCTTGAGTAACAGCAAACCTAACTTGGGAAGTGACATATAAACAGGTATTCTCTGGGAGCTTTGGAAGCACCTCATTTGCCCTTAACTATCTGTTCAGGGAAACAAAACTGTATTCCAGAAATGCTATTACAGAAGTTGGTCATAGAAGGTGGTAAGATGAAAAGATTAACAATGGAGAAGTCCTATAAAATAGATTAGAAATAGAAATAAGCATGAATATGGAGCTCTTTGAAGAGTCTGAGCTACCTGAGTTAATAACACATGGCCAGAAATGCTGCAAAAGGAGCACTGTGAGCACACAGCCAACTTGTCATACTCATGTGCTGCTCACTGCGTGCCTGTATTCTCTAAATTTCTGGGGACAGCACTGTATCTTCAGGGTATGGTATGTCCTTCTAAGGCATTCAGGGAGGTGAAGGTAGGAAGGCCAGGACATGGATGCTCAGCAAATGAAGACATGGCTTACAGCTCTGCAAAGAGAGCCTCACACTGTGTTTTTGCAGCATGGTAACTGGGTGCGAGCAACACTTTTCCACATAAACAGCATTCCCCTGCAAAGAAGCAGCAGCCGAGCTGTGACACTTCCAGCCTTCCAACAAGGAATGAATTGCAAAATAAGATTTTATCTGTAGCAAATATCTGTATCTGAACCTGGCGTCTTCATTGGATGAGAGCTTCTGTGCTGTGAATTCATATACATGGTCTAGATTTGGATAATATAGAAGTGCAGGAAAATAAAACGTTTACTAGCATCATCCTTAACTTGGGAATGTGGAAAAGTGCTGCCTGCTTCCCAGGGGATGGAGGCTGAGAGAGACCGAGCACCTGCAAAGCAATTGTTGCTGTAGGATGGCGCGCCCAGCCTTCGCTTTCAGCGGCCGCGCTACCCGGGGGAAGGCAGATTTCGGCGCTCCCCCTGCCCTGCTCCCCCGGTGCCTCCCCCGTCCCTCCGTGCCCCGCCGGGCCGGGCCGGGCCGGGCGGTGCCCAAGGTCAGCCCCGCGCCCCGCCCGCCGGCCCCGCCGCGCCGCCCGCGCTACGCACCCCGGTGCGAAGCCCTGTCCGAAGCCTTGTCCTCCGCGCCCGCGCTGCCCATGGTGGCGGAGCGCGGAGCTCTCCGCCGCGCCGGCTCTGCGAAGTCCGGGCTGGAGTCCCGACGGCTCCTGGCTCGGGGTGGTCCCGGGCGGCGGGTGCAGCTCGCCCGGGCTCCCCTCGCCGCCCGGCGATGCGACCCCGCCGGGAGATGCTCAAACCGCCCTAATTAAAAAATTAAACACGGCCGCTGCTGCTACCGCCTCCTCCTCCACCTCTTCGCCCGCCCCTTTCCATCGCTATTCAGCCGCGCTCCTCTCCAGCCCCGCTTTTCGCGGATTAAACCCGGGAGCGTGGAAACTTCCTGCAAAACACTACGTGCGGTGCATCGGTAAGGGCCGGGCCGGGGCCGCTGCGGAGCGCGGCGGGAGCAGCCGTCCCTCCTCGCTCCGCCACCGCCGCCCAGGCCGGTACCGGGGCCGCGGAGGCCGGGTGGTCTCTGCAGTGCTGGAGAGCGGGGCTGCGGAACCCGCAGGAGGGGCTGCATCCCTCCGGCGCCGAGCAGGACCTGTGGAGCCGCGCTGGGCCCTGCTGGCCGTGGCAGGGTTCCGCTGAGCCGAAAGCCTCTTAGGCTGTGCCCGCAGTGTGGCTCGTGTCCTCCCAGCAGCTCTAATAGGAATAACGATTAAAGCTTAGACCTCGCTTTATAGCCTCTCATTAGCCGCGTTTAGCTGATGCTGGTTGTATATTAGAGAGGTTTCTATTTACCACAACAGCAGGTGTTTAAGTTGGATTAGGAAAGAAGATTCATTTTCCCAAAGCTGAATCTGTATATATTGCATTAATAAATCACAGATCTGTTTCAAATGATAGGGATTCCATATTTATAAATCATCAGGGTGAATACACCCCTGCAGGGATGCACGTGGGTCAGTGGAACAGGACTGTATCACGCTGTCATGCATCATGAGACTTATGAGACTGCTGTAGACCTACTAACAGATTTTGCTCTATGGAAAATAATTTTAAAACTCCTCATGTTTCTTGCTGAAATAACACTACAATAGGTTAAATCTTCTTCTTGAAATGATCTGGAGCAAAACAGGGTTTTGCCTTGCCTGCCGTTTTAATGCCCAATTCCTCTGCTGTGACTGCAGTGAACTTCCAAGTACTGAGTCAAAATACAGCTTTCTCCTGCTGTTAAAACTAATGGTTAAACTGATGGTTAACTATGTACTTGCTAATGGTTATTGGTTTGATTTTCTAATGCTGCGTGATTAGTCATGTGATAAAAAATGTCTGTAAATCAAGCTAATTTTTGAAGTGCCTCTCATATTTAAAGATCCATGAAGACTTTATAAATAGATAGTTTTAAATAGTATAAGACTGTGCTTTCAGAATATGTATATAGAGCCCCTACTGTTCCTAAGGAGCTCTAGTTTTCTTTTTTAGCCCTGTCCCTGATTTGCCTGGGGGCCCCATGAAGGTCTCTCACTAGACTGAAAGCTGTAGTTTGACGTTTTGGGAGGAGCACATACAAGATCTCAGAATTTTAGAGTGCCTCCTCAACCTAGAGTAATTGTTAAGGGAGAGTGACAGAAATCCAGGGATTCCTAGTAGTTGCTGAGCTTTGCTGTACTTGGAGAACCTTATTGGAAATATGACCTGGGGAGTAGCCAGGACCACTCTGACTGCTGTGGCTGGGAATGAGGGACAGCACTGACAATAGAAACACATTCTGAGGGGGTGCTTCTTGCCTCTTCTGACAGAATTTAGGCATGAATGTCTACCAATTTCCTGGGAAAGGTTTACTTGTGGGATATTACTCCTTGTAGATAGATCCTTTTGTCTTGTTGTTCTTAGAGGATTGAACTTAAAGAATTATTTTTTTTAACACTGAAATAATTGTCCCTATTGTACTCTGGCATGGCAGAAGTTGCTGAAATCGTGTGTTTATTTCTAGGAATCTGACACTCATGTTCTATTCTGAAGACTTCTGAATTTATATATTTAAGATCCACTTTTCTGGAATTGAAACTGGAAAAGAAACTGGCAGCCAGCAATAGGGAATGAGTCTCCTTCTTCATCTACCAGTTGTCAACAGACAAGTAGCACTGTTTTTCTGTTCAAGATGGTATATTTTAAAGTGGAAAAGTGATGGAATAACAATCTTTTTCTACATTTCATTTCTTTTTCACTTGAAATTCACAAGTTTTTCTTTTGCATGAGAGAAGTGATTTTTTGGTAAGGCAAATGGGTAGCAGTGGATGTGAATCATTCTGGGTATATGGACAAAGGGAGCATTCGCTACTCTTTGCTTTCAATTTCTTGATCAGGATCCATCTTTTGTGTTCAGCTGACAGTTACTATCACTTTCATCTGACTTCAGTCATATTTGGTGTTGATTTGATCCTTATTTAGGGAGTGCTGTGTTTTCTCAAAGGAGAGCCCTTGCTCACAAGTAGAGATTTTATAATGATCTAGTAATTTGTTATGTTGAGTTGGCAAATTCAACCTAATTTAAGGTTGGGCAAGACTTAAAGCTAAGTGGGTGCCAGTGAGTGAAAGGCAATGTGGAAGTCTTAGAGCTGTTAGCTGGTCAATACTTTTGAAGTTTAAGGATCACTTGAGTGGTGTAGGTGTCAAGAAAATGTAACTGTTTTGAGGGATAACTAACTCCCTTGTAACTTGCTTTTCAGCTTAACTTTAAACAGCTCTTTGCGTGTTCCTTTGCAAGCAAACTCTCCCTTCAATAGAAATTTTAAATGGGCTGAAGTGGGCAGTCAGGGAAAAATATTGTACACAGAAGAAACGCATCAAGTTGAAACTCCCCTCCCAAGCAAATTTAAGCAAGATTTTTGAGAATATGCATAAACAGAAAGCAATAGTATATAGGGGAGATAAAAGTAGTAGTAGAGGCCCCCAGCAAAAACATAATATATGTGGATTATATATTAATTTATGTATTGATCACAGTTACAACTTGGAATTATTTAATGTAATTTATTTCAATGTATTTAGCATTTTTAAAATAATAAACATCTCTATTCTACCATGGTTTTTTACATAGTCTTAAAATATCTGAATCTCTATTTGTGCTTGTTCAAAGGCTGTGCTTTTACTAGACTCTGACTTTACCAGCAACATAGAGGCTACAGCCCTGTGGGTCTGTAGGGCACTGCTTTGGTGACTGCTGGGAATGGTGCTGGAAAACAAGTCCCACAAAGCAGTCTCCCCTTGTTAAATGTCTGACTAGGCCCACTCTTCAATTGGGAAAAGTGTAGGGATTCAGAAGAAGGTTGAAAATCACCCCCTTTAAGTCCAGTCGGTGTTAGTGATGGGGAAGGTGGAAAAGTGCATGAATACAGTGAAAACCAACAGTGCCACCTTGTGTGGGTGGGACGGGAGAGTTGGTCCATGAGGAGGCAAATGGCCCCAGTGCATCTCCAGCTCTTCCACCCCGGCACTGGGGCGAGCCCTGGCCAGCTGGGGACAGGGCAGAGGGAAGGATGAGTTCCTTTAGAGCTGCAGGAGGGAGGTGTTTGCTGCCTCACTTGAAAGGCAGAGGTGGTGGGCATGTTAGGGGCACTCAGCCTGACAGGGGAAGAAGGACCAACAAAAAAGCAGGTTGCTCTGTTTTTGCTTTGTAATTCAGCAGCTAGAGTAATGTCTGGGGGAAGAGGGGTAATGTGAATTGTTTCGTGTAGGAACAGTAAAAGTGCTACCAAAAGTTACTGCTGTCAACTCTGTGCTTGCCAAGACTGTACAGCCATTGTGGCATACACCCTACCTGTAACTGTGAAACACTATTTACATTAGGGAATGACAAGAGGAATTTGTTAGGACAGGAGATCAAGAATGCTTGTAACAGTGTTGTACTAAATGAAGGATCCCCTTTTAATAGGAACATTCCTCAGAAATCTTGTCTGTCTCCTGTAAGAACATGAACAGAAGCAGAGGAGATGTTGAAAGCCCGCATATCAAAAGATAATTTTAAAATATTCTCAGGAGGGACCAGGGGTGTGTAACAAAGGAGACTTTCTCAGCACAGGAAATGGCATGGAAAGATAATGGTTTCCTTTTTTTAACTTAACTATGGCAAGTAGATTTTTAAAAAAATATATATTTCAATCATTTTATACTCAAGCGTCTTCCTAGGGAAAAACTTAAACATTTTTCAACACAGTTTTGTAGACCAAAGAAATTCTACTTTTAAATTTCAGTTCACCCCTGTCAGGTCCCTAACAGCTCTTTGTGGCATTACTCTCCCATTTTTATTATTGTTCTTTGAAGACAGAACTACTGAGTGATTTTGTGTGAGACTTGTAGAATAGGCAGCAAGACTCCCATAAAAATCCTGACACAGGCAACTGAGCTGAACAGAATGCTCTAAATTGGCGTTGTGGTCTGAAGAAGACAGGGCAAAGCTACCATAACTTCTCCAGGCTTTTAGCCAGACTGTGCCCCAGTGCAGCCTTAATAAAAAAACACCTTTTCATCTTTGGCTGTGTATGGATTGTGCAGTTCTGAGTATTTACTGCAAAACCCTTTGTGTGACAGCAGAGTTTACTGGTACAAAACCGTGTGCACTGGGCTGTGGTGGGTCAATCCTGGCTGGCCAACAGGTGCCCACCAGGTTGCTCTAGCATTCTTCAGCAGGATGGGATGGCAGAGAACAAGGTGGAAAAAACTCATGGATCAACATCAAGGCAGTTGAATAAAGCAAAGACTGTGTATGGAAGCCAAGGAAAACAGATTTACTCTCTGTTTCCCATCAGCAGGCAATGCCCGGCCACTTCCCAGGAAGCAGTACACACAGCAGTTGCTCTGCAAGACAGATGTCATAACAAATGCCCTTGCCTCTCCTTTTTCTTGGCTTTTGTTGCTGTGCAGATGTCATATGGTGTGGAATATCCTTTGGATAGTTTGGGTCAGCTGTCCTGGCTATGTCCTGTCCCAAGATCTTGCCCACCCTCAGCTCACTGGTGAGAGGGGAATGCTGGAGACACAGCTGTGATGCTGTCCCAGCAAACACCAACGTGTTACCAACTCCTTTCCAGCTACAGCACTGAGGGCTGCTCTGGGGAAAACTGACTTCACCTCAGCCAGACCCACGGGCCCAAAAGGCATACAAACATGGGGGGGCAGCAATTGAAACAGCCAGTGGGTTATTCAGAACAAGTGGGCAAACTGTGTGTAAGAAAGTCAGCAACTCCACAGGCCCATCAGGACAGGAATTCAGTGTCAGCTGCTTGGTGCCATAATGTGCTTTAGGGAGGGGAGGATTCCAACACTTGAGATGCTCTGTGCGAAGCACAATCAGAGGGTCTGGTTTCCTGAACATGGGAATTACTCCCCTTCATCCTGAAGAAGTGAGCGCTATAAAATGTAATTACAGCAATATCAAGTAAACATTAACTATTCCAGCAGTGATTATTATCACAAATACCAAGATATTTATCTAATTATGGTTAATATGTGAACAGAATTGCAGCTCTTATCAGATCTCTGGACATGCCTTTCTACCTTCATCTGGAATGGACGTTACTGGGGTGTTTTGCTTTGAGTGCTTTCTCCAAAATCTCACATGTTGCCAACACCTGCTATGACAATCATGAGGACAGAAAAAACAGAGTCCCAGGAGCTCATAAGGAGTTTACTTCCAAAAGCCACATTAATACAGGCCTGTGGATTAGCAACCAGAAGCCACCAATCTAAATTCATTGCAGAGGAGTGAATGGCTTTCCTTATATAATAGATATTTATATAATATTTGGCTACCCCTTTAGAAATGCTTTTGTACTTGTGGTTAGTAAAATCATTAAACTTTGCCCATGACAAATGCTTTTTTCTTCTTTTAAAAATATTGCGTATTAGAGAGTGTCCAAAGGAGGCAACAAAGATGGTGGAGTGTCTGGGGCCTTATGACTGAGGTCACTTGGTCAGCCTGGACGAGACAGAGGGGAGACCTCATTGGGATCTTCGACATTGTCACAAGGGGAAGGGCAGGTACCAGTCTCTTCTCTCTGGTGACCAGCGACAGGACTCGAGGAAACAGCACGAAGCTGAGTCAGGAGAGGTTTAGGTCAGGTCAGGAGAAGGTTTTTCACCCAGAGGGTGGCTGAGCACTGGAGCAGCCTCCTCAGGAAGTGGTCACAGCACCAAGCTTGAGAGAGTTCCAGAAGCGTTTGGGCAATGCTCTTGTGACTCTTGGGGTGTTTTGTGCAGGGCCAGGAGTTGGACTGGATGATCCTGGTGAGTCCCTTCCCACTCAGCATATTCTATGATTCTACATTTGGTCTGAGCTGTCTCATCACAGGTTAAGGGTTGATTTTGTGTCCAAATCCTTCAGAATTTGGGAGCCTTCAGTTCACGATGAATGGGGGGGAACTTATTAATGTAGAAGAGTACTGAAATGTTTGGGAAAAGACCACACAAGATTTTTTAATGAGAAATGGTGTGGCCAGCAGGACTATAGCAGTGATCATTCCCCTCTACTCTCACTGTGAGGTTGCACAATGAATCCTGTGTTCAGTTTTGGGCCCTTCACAGCAAGAGGGACGTTGAGGTGCAGAAATGTGTCCAGAGAAGGGCAGCTGATCAAGGGTCTGGAGAGAAGCCTTGTGAGGAACATCTGAGGGAGTGTTAGCCTGGAGAACAGGAGGGACATTATCGCTTCTGACTGCCCGAAAGGAGGATGCAGCCAGGTGGGAGCTGGTCTCTTCTTCCGTGAAACACGTGACAGGGTGATAGGAAATGGCCTGAACTTGTGCCAGAGGAGGTTTAGGTTGGATATTAGGAAAAATTTCTTCACGGAACGGGTTGTCCATCACTGGCACAGGCTGCACTGGGAAGTGGTGCAGTCCCCATTGCAGGAGGGATTTGAAAGACGCTAAGATGTGCCACTTGGGGACTCGGCTTAGTGTTGTACTTAGCAGTGCTACATTAAAGGGTGGATTTGAAGGTCCCAGGGTCTTTCCCAGCCGGGTTGTTTCTGCTGTTGGGCGGTTCAGCGCCTCAGCGAGGGCGGCTGTCGTGAGGCGCAGCCGGCCATGCCCGGCCCCGCGTCGCCATGGCAACGCACAAAGCCTCGGCGCGCGCGCCCTCCCCCGGCCGCGCGCGGCGCTCTC